TGAACAAGAACAAAAACCAAGAGAAATTAGTGCCAGGTTCTGCACTTCTTACTTCCCTGTCCACTGCTTTCCATGTGTAAAAACATTGTAATGTTTAAAGGCAGAAAGACTGTCATAACACCTAATCTGACCTGCTGTGTATCACAGGCCATTACATTTTATCCATCAAATTTCTACACTCTACTGAGAGCAATAGCTTATGCTGGATTGAAGTATAATGTGTGCCAAAGCATATCATCTCCTCCAGGAAGGCATCCAGTCTTGACCTCAGGACATGAAGAGCCTGAGACTGCACCACTTCCTGGTTATTTGTTCCAGCGGTTAATTTTTCTGCGTTGAGAATCCCTCTATATGACTGCCCCGTACTCATCATTTTTTATCACTCCACCAATCTTATCAGCCGTGGTTGTACATTGTTTTCCACTGTGCTCTGCATGAACTTTACTGCCTGTCTTGATTAGGACGTTGAGTAGTGTTGAACCAGGAACGATTTTTTTTTTCAAACACTGACTAAAAAGACTAAAGACTAAAAAGACCCCCCCGCTTTCCCACAAACAGCCCCTTCCTTCTTATCTGTCGCTTGTACGGTTCTTAATCCATTTAAGACGTGCACTGCTGTCCTGCTAATATTTTAATCAGAATGCCGCGCGATGCTAAGTCTTACCAAAGTTGAAATGTATTTCATCTGCGCAGTTTTCTTTATCAACCAAACATGTAATCTCATCAAAGACAGAAATCAGGATTCTTTGACCAGATCTCATTTGCATATAATCATGTGGACTGGCATTAATTCTATTTTTGTTCTTTAATTCTGTATTAATTGCATCTCATGTCAGCCCTCCCATTATTCTGCCTAGGATTGATGACAGGCTTACCAACTTCTAATTACCAGAGTCGCCCCCCTTGCCTTTTTATAATAGTGATATACTATCCACCATCTTCCAGTCTCCTGGAATTTCCTCGGCATCCCAAGGTTTATTCAAGATTACTTTCAACAGGCTCCTAGTTAGTTCCATTGTACTCATGGAGAGGGAAAAAAAAATCTACTGATTTTTAAAGGGTTTTCTCCCAGGAGATGTTAACATTCTCCTTGCTCAGTAATAAACTGGAAAGTACTTCTTTATCCTTGTGTGAACAAGCGTATCTTTTTTGTATATAGAATACCTCTGTGTTTTCTGCACCATTAGTAATTGTACCCCTTCCTCTAGTAATGTGTTTATATCACAGCTTGGGATTCATTTGTTACCACGTACTTAAAAAACAAAACTAAACAAAAATTGCCACTATCCTGGCCCTACAAGGCATAGTTATTTTCTTTCTTGAAATCTTAAGCTTCCCTTATCAAATTTCCACATTTCATAACCGCTAATTTAAATGAACTGCTCTCCATTTTCCCCTTTTCCTATTTCTTACGTATTATATTTCTTTTCTAATATCTTCCTTTCACTGGTGAAACAGAACGGGCTTTGCCACCTAATAAACCTTCCTTAAAGAACTCCCGATTTTCGAATTTTTGTATCGTCTATTTCTTTCTGAAAGTCATTTTACTCATCACTTTTTCTGAATATTGGAAATTAGCCCTATTGAAACACAAGTATACATACATATACTCTCTATATAGCTCTAGGTAAGCCTGGCCTGTCCTTTGTTTGCTTATAGTGAATATAATCAGGTCATGATTACTGGTCCCTAGGCAACCACCAACTTCCAGTCCGGTGATGAAGCCATCCTTATCTATCATAATGAGCCCCATACAGAATGACCTTGTCTCAGGTATAATACTCTTTGTGTTAGAAATGGCATCATCTAGATCTCTTAGAAAGTTTAATGCTGTTTTACCACTGGTTTTATGAGACCTCCAGCTTATGAACCCCAAGTTGAAGTCCCCCATAAGGACACTTTCCCCCCACATCATTCCCATTGCAGACAGGACTAAGGAACACGTTAAAGAATAACCTACCTTCTTATCTAGCTTGATTCAGGAGTCCATAGCAGATTCCAGTATCCATATGCATGCAAGATCCCAAAGGTCCAAGTTATTGATGATCTCTAGCAGGTCTGTCCGTAATGTGGAGCCACATTTCTCACCGTATTTACCACTGTCATGCGTGGCTCTACCCCAGCATACCCGTGGCAACGTTTTGCATGGTTATAAATGACAGTACAAGTTGTACGGAGTTGGAGAATCAGGCCCAAAAAGAAGCAGCTCACTCTCTGAGTAGACTTACCTCTGTGAATTAGGGTAGCAGACCCAGGCCTTTAATTATCCTTTCTCCAAAATCTGTTTACTGAGTCCTACAAACTTTGTCAGGGATCTTGTCTTATTTCTTTGCTAAACATGAATAAATATCCTTAAAAAAATCATTGTTTTAAAGGCACAGTAATTCTTATTGCAGGCCTTTCTTTTAATTTAATCACTAATTCAGGCCTCTTTAATCTGATCAAGACTTTGGGAACCAAATATATTTTTTCTGTTACTAAAAAAGTACAATTCAATTTCTCCTTTCATTGTGATCAATGTTGATTGCCGCTGGCAAGCATGATTAGATAATTCTATCTACAATTTGCTATGCAATTAATAAGGATGGGACCATAGTTCTACATGGGAGAGAAGGGCCTAAGGGAAATCCTCATCATAATAACAATATCACCCAAGTGCCAATCAAAGCCATGTTATCTCGACACTCCAGACCAGACTCAACCCTGCCACAACGCTGCTGTTATACCAACAGTGAAATGTGTCCCTGAGGGAAAATGGAAGGAGGAAGAGATTCTTAGCTGGTGCTAATTGGCAGAGCACCTTTGAGCTTGATTAGTGACACCGCCATATGCTTTGCCAGCTGTGACGGCCAGTCTGTAATGCAATCAGTTGCTCTTGCATGGCTGGGTTATGCAGCCCGGATTCACATTGCTGAGAGCATCACCTGTGTTATCCTAATGTAGGAGTACCCCAGGTTGAATTCTGGCTGTTGCCAAAGTAGCCGCTGCTCTCTGGTTGCTTCAAATGCTGGGCATCCTTTTTTGTGATCTTCCAGCCTGCTGCACCCCTGCAGCTCCAGGTAGCAGTTGTGGGAGCTGCCAGTGCTCAGCGCCGTTGCAAAATGGGACCTGTGGTACCTCTGATGGGGGTGCCCAAACTAAGAGGGACACAGAATCAGTGACTCCTTGGGCCAGATCTGGACCTTTGCCAGTTCACACCAGCTGGGGATCTCACTCAGATAACAGTGATGGTCATTCTTTGCATTCAGAGTGCTTTGCATATTGAAAGCCCCTAACATATTAACTAATTCAGTCTGCACAAGACCCCTGTGAAGGAGAGAGTGTCATACATGATGGAAAATGGAGGCAGAGAGGTATGGTGTCTTGCTCCAGGTAGTAAGCCTTGCCAGATATAGAGTCTGGGACCTCCTGGTTCCAGCTGCCTGGAGGTGATTCTCATTTCACTTGCTTCTCCTAATTAACTCACTATCTGGAGTATTAGCCAGGGCAGCTCACACAGTCAATGGAAGGCCCAATATGGACAGGGGTTGAAGTCCCCTCTCTGCCTGGTAAATCTTCAGTTCTGGCCTTTACATTCCCTTGTCATGCATGGAGAAGGAGGCTGGCGGCAGGCTGAGAAGAAATCTGTAAGACCCCAGTTTCATGCCTCTTCATTGTTGAGGCCGAGTTAAACTCACTGCCGTCACTTTGGTACCCCCTCCACCACCCCCCTGCATTGTTGGGTCCCTGGTGGTTTAGGGCAGGGTTGGCAGTCTGCTTTGTTGGTGGTCTCCAAGTTCTCAGCAGATGCACAGCAGAGGGATGCAGTGCCAGTCAGCACTCTAGGAGTCCAGAAAACTTACCAGCAGACAGTTTACATACTTGTAAATCTGGCATTTAATACTATGGCTAAGGTTAAAAAAAAAAGAAGGGAAAATTCAAATAATTGTACATGTGCAACAGGCTTCTTTTTAATAATTGTATTCAGAAAGAGCTTTGTGCTGTTTAGTATTAAGGTGCTATTGCGAAGGCGTTTGTGTGTATGCCTTTCCAGGAATGCCGCCAGTCTCATTAAAAAAAAAAAGTATTTTGAAAAGCAGACTTTAGTCCACTGAAATATTTCAGAGGATAGACTTCCCAAGAAGGTGGTGCAGTGCCCAACCTTGGACGTCTTCAAGAGGAGACTGGACAGACACCTTGCTGGGATCATTTGATCGCAGCAGTATTCCTGCCCAAAGCAGGGGGGTTGGAATCGATGATCTCTCGAGGTCCCTTCCATCCCTTAATTTCCATCATTTCTGTGATCACAGAAGAGCAGGCAGGTTTCTTAGATGTGCTGGCCCAAGCAAGTAGAGGTGAGCTTGAGTCTGACCTCTTCAGTTCTGGTGAGTTGAGATCTTGATCTAGACTTGGCGAATAACCCAAGCTCTCTAATGGCCCAGTCCCTCATGCCTGCTGTAAGTTCAGAGAGCATTTGCAAAACACACCTGTCTGCATCAGGGCTGATTCTCCCCTCCCTAGTGGCATTGCGGTCTGGGGTGGGCGTTGCATAAGCCAGTTTGAGCTCAGCCAGTTAAGTCTGATACGACATTCAACCAGGTTTATCTCAAACTGGTTTTGACCATTATGTGCACTGGATGTCTGTTCTGTTACAGGTTTTAACCAGTTTCTGATCACTTAAACCAGTTTATACGTAATGTCTGTCCCTAGCCTATATCAGTAACTCATGTCTATGCAAAAGGAGTGTCCAGGGACTCCAGTTCAGAACAAGGGTACGGGGCCGTCCTTTTGCACAGGGATAAATGATGCCACCAGGACCAAAGCAGTGGGGAATCAAGTCCAGGGAGACACAGGCCTTACCAAATATTCCTAGCAGCAGCCGCACAGAGGATAAAGAGGGAGGCACAGTTTGAGCAATAAGCCCACAAGGCCAGCAGGGGGAAGAGTCAGTTGAACTATCTTTAAATGGAGCCTTTCCATTTATCTTCTGCCCTAACAATGACTTGTTCTTTAATTTTTAGAAGAGACAACTACAGCCCTGACACCCTGGAAAGGTCAGTAAAATCTGCTCCCTTAACTGTGAATGCTCCCCCAGCTCTGGTTTCCCTGCTGCCACCAGCCCCTCTGCCTCCTCCATCCTTAATTTTCCTGCAGCTGACCTAACCTCAAGAGATCTGCTGACTAGAACCGATCTGTTGTTCCACGCCGCCCCTAACTGCACCAATTAAACTAACTTGCTTGTCGAACCTCTGACTTGTAACTTAGTAGGCACCCCTGCAGCTTGCCTAGAACTGCTTGCAGGGGTCTTACTCTATAGCGTGTACAATTAGGAGCAGGAACTAAAACTGCAATGACTGTAGCCTCTGTCATGTCAGGGACTCTGCTGCCTGTCCTCCTTTCTCGTAGCCTAACACACTGCAGGGATCTTCTGTAAGGAGACTTTTCCTCTGCATGCCGTGTGTTCCTTGCCAAGTCCTCTATTGCACCCCCCCACCCCCACCCCGTGCTCCCACCA